TGACCTTTCACCTATAATTATTTCCTGTGGTAGGGTACACTATTACCCTGCAATATAATACCTGGTCCAATTTATGGGTCAATATTAAGGTCCGAAATCAGGCTTGACGTTAACATTGAAAAGTGACTTCGCGATTCCTACCTTTAAAGGGTTTTAGAAGGCGAATTTCGTCGTTTTGAGCAATAGTGAATTAAGTCATTTTTAAGGTCAGATATCGTGCCGTTTGTTAGCATTGAAAAGTGTCTTCGAATTTCCTTGTATTAAGGCACTATATAAAATATAAATGGTGTACCACCTAATTCACCTATATTTAATTCCTGTGGTAGGGTACACTATTACCCTGTAATATAATACTTGCTCCAATTACAATATTAAAGGCCAATATTAAGGTCCGATACCGTGCCGTTAGTTAACATTGAAAAGTGTCTTCGTATTTCCTTGTTTTAATGCACTTTTTTAAATATACATAGTGTACCCCCTAATTGACCTATTATTATTTCCTGTTTTAGGGTATACTATTACCCTGTAATATAATATGTGGTTCATCTTAAATATTATGGGTCAATATTAAGGCTCGAAATCGGGCTTTACGCTAACATTGAAGAGGAACTTCGCGCTTCCTATCTTATACCTGGTTTCAGAAGGCGAATTTCCCCATTTTAAGCTCTTTCGAACACTTATTTTAGATACGGACACATAGTAAAATACAGGAACACATTGTGTACCCCCGAATTCACCTATAATTATTTCCTGTGGAAGGATACACTATTACCCTGTAATATAATATGTGGTCCAACTTAAATATTATGGGTCAATATTAAGGTCTGATATCGCGCCTTGCGTTAGTTAACCATTGAAAGATGTCTTTGAATTTTTAAAGCATTTTAGAACGCTTATTTCCTCATTTTAAGCTTCTCAGAACACTTTATTTCGCACTTGCATACATAGTAAACTTTAGGGTCACGCTGTGTGCCCCCTAAATGACCTATAATTATTTCCTGTGGTTGGGTACACTATTACCCTGTAATATAATACTTGGTCCAATTACAATATTAAAGTTCAATATTAAGGTCCGATACCGTGCCGTTAGTTAACATTGAAAAGTGTCTTCGAATTTCCTTATTTTAATGCACTGTTTAAAATATACATAGTGTACCCCCTAATTGCCCTATAATTATTTCCCGTGGTAGGGTACACTGTTATCATGTAATATAATACCTGGTCAAACTAAAATATTATGGGACAATATTAAGGTCTGAAATCGGGCTTGACGTTAACATTGAAAAGTGACTTCGCACTTCCTATCTTTAAAGGGTTTTAGAATGCGAATTTCCTCGTTTTGAGCAATAGTGAATTAAGTCAATTTTAAGGTCAGATAACTTGCCGTTTGTTAGCATTTAAAAGTGTCTTCGAATTTCCTTGTTTTAATTCACTATTTAAAATATAAATAGTGTACTCCCTAATTCACCTATAATTATTTCCTGTGGTAGGGTACACTATTACCCTGTAATATAATACTTGGTCTAATTACAATATTAAAGATCAATATTAAGGTCCGATACCGTGCCGTTAGTTAACATTGAAAAATGTCTTCGTATTTCCTTGTTTTAATGCACTATTTAAAATATACATAGTGTACCCCCTAATTGACCTATTATTATTTCCTGTTTTAGGGTACACTATTACCCTGTAATATAATATGTGGTCCAACTTAGATATTATGGGTCAATATTAAGACTCGAAATCGGGCTTTACGCTAACATTGAAGAGGAACTTCGCGCTTCCTATCTTTAAAGGGTTTCAGAAGGCGAATTTCCTCATTTTAAGATCCTCCGAACACTTATTTTAGATACGCACACATAGTAAAATACAGGAACTCATTGTGTTCCCTCTAATTGACATATAATTATTTCCCGTGGTAGGGTACACTATTACCCTGTAATATAATACCTGGTCAAATTTAAATATTATGGGTCAATATTAAGGTCCGAAATCGGGCTTTACGTTAAGATAGAAAAGTGACTTCGCGCTTCCTGACTTTAAAGGGTTTTAGAAGGCGAATTTCCTCATTTTAAGCTTTTCCGAACACTTCTTTTTGATACGTATACATAGTAAAATACAGGAACTCATTGTGTACCCCCTAATTGACCTATAATTATTTCCTGTGGTAGGGTACACTATTACCCTGTAATATAATACCTGGTCCAATTAAAATATTATGGGTCAATATTAAGGTCTGATATCGCGCCTTGCGTTAGTTAACATCGAAAAATGTCTTTGAATTTTTAAAGCTTTTTAGAAGGCGAATTTCTTCATTTTAAGCTTTTCAGAACACTTATTTCACATATGCATACTTAGTAAAATACAGGAAGTCATTGTGTACCCCCTAATTGAACTATAATTATTTCTTCTGGAAGGGTACACTATTACCCGGTAATATAATACGTGGTCCAATTAAAATATTATGAAGGTCTGATATCGCGCCTTGCGTTAGTTAACATTGAAAAATGTCTTTGAATTTTAAAAGCTTATTAGAAGGCGAATTTCTTCATTTTAAGCTTTTCAGAACACTTTTTTCACATATGCATACTTAGTAAACTTTTGGGTCACGTTGTGTACCCCCTAAGGGATCTATAATTATTTTCTTTGGTAGAGTACACTATACCTAGGTAATATAATACTTAGCCCAATTAAAATATTATAGATCAATATTAAGGGCAGATATCGTGCCGTTTGTTAGCATTGAAAAGTGTCTTCGATATTCCTTGTTTTTATGCACTATTTAAAATATACATAGTGTACCCCCAATGCGGTCTATAACTATTTCCTGTGGTAGGGATCACTATTACCCTGTAATATAATATGTGGTCCAATTTAAATATTATGGTTCAATATTAAGGTCCGAAATCGGGCTTTACGTTAAGATAGAAAGTGACTTCGCGCTTCCTAACTTTAAAGGGTTTTAAAAGGCGAATTTCCTCATTTTAAGCTCTTCCGAACAACTTATTTTAGATACACATACATACTAAAATAACGGAACTCATTGTGTACCCCTAATTGACCTATAATTGTTTCTTCTGGAAGGGTACACTATTTCCTGGTAATATAATACGTGGTCCAATTTAAATATTATTGGTCAATATTAAGGTCTGATATCGCGCCTTGCGTTAATTAACATTGAAAAATGTCTTTGAATTTTTAAAGCTTTTCTGAAGGCGAATTTCTTTATTTTAAGCTTTTCAGAAAACTTATTTCACATATGCATGCATACCTAGTAAACTTTAGGGTCACGTTGTGTACCCCCTATGGGGTCTATAATTATTTTCTTTGGTAGGGTACACTATACCTAGGTAATATAATACTTGGCCCAATTAAAATATTATAGGTCAATATTAAAGGCAGATATCGTGCCGTTTGTTAGCATTGAAAAGTGTCTTCGATATTCCTTGTTTTTATGCACTATTTAAAATATACATAGTGTACCCCCAATGCGGTCTATAACTATTTCCTGTGGTAGGGATCACTATTACCCTGTAATATAATATGTGGTCCAATTTAAATATTATGGTTCAATATTAAGGTCCGAAATCGGGCTTTACGTTAACATTGAAAAGTGACTTCGCGCTTCCTATCTTTAAAGGGTTTTAGAAGGCGAATTTCCTCATTTTAAGCTCTTCCGAACACTTATTTTAGATACGCATACGTAGTAAAATACAGGAAATCATTGTGTACCCCCTAATTGACATATAATTTTTTTTTCGGGAAGGGTACCCGGTAATATAATACGTGGTCTAATTAAAATATTATGGGTCAATATTAAGGTCTGATATCGCGCCTTGCGCTAGTTTAAGGGGGGGATGACCTTGTCGATGAAATGGTTATGTCTAAGATATGATATTGTCGACTTATTAGCCCTGTCGACGAAGTGGTGTTGGTAAAGTGAACCAGATCCCTTGGTCCTATTGATATATTTTAGCCTGGTTTGCTAACTTAATCACTACTCAATGATGCTCTCGGTAGCAGTACTGGATTTTATTATATTAGACCAATAATCTAACAGCCTATTTTTTTTTAATTTGCGAATGCGGATTACTCAGTGTTAGATGCTTCTATAATATGATAATTGCTGTTCACGTCTTTGGTCGTCCGTGAGTTTAACATCGGTAGGGTGACGTGTGCTACATATGAGATGAGCGTATATAAATGAGATGGTGGTGAAAAGATTTTGTTGTAATTAAATTGACTAAGTTTGTAAAGAATACAATATAAATTGGAAATAAATTTGAAAAAAAAGTAGATTTAAAATTGTTTTGCACAAAGTAATCTGACTGAATAGGCTCCAGATTGCAGGAGCCCCTGTCTCTTAGTCCATCCGTGATGGCAAATATTAAATTCTTTTGCTAAAAGAAAATTCAGTCAGCGATTATTTTGTGTTTTCTACAGTTAGCTTTAAACTTTATTTCCTAGACATTTTATACCATAGTATTCAACATAAGTTTCCTGACACTGAGCTTAAGCTACCAACTTATTTTTTTTGCGAAGAAAATTTTTCCGCCAAAAGCTATCCTTCTTACCAAATTTTTTCTGATTTAAATTTTACACTGCTATATCTAGTATCTCCAACAATTATTTCTTCCTCAGATAAAAATTTTTTTGCTTCGGTTGTAAAAATGACACTCACACAATCTTTTAATTACATCACTGGCTTAGCCGTATTTGCATTAAATATTATATAAATATTAGTTATATCAAATATACTTTATAACAATTTCAGTAATTAGAAGGTTTAACCTAAATAGGAGGGTTGGCAGTGAGCCTAGTCTTTTCAATTTTGAACGATTAATGTTAATCATAGATACAGCATTTTTTTTGTGTCGTATTACAAATATACATAGTATTAAGACTGTAAAAGGAAGTTCTTTATTTCGGAGGATGTGTTTTTACATGGTTAGAAATAGCCTCCATTTCTTGGCACTTCCTAGAGTCTTCCTTGGATTACTGGACTTCGGTAAGTCTGGCAGCGGTGTCTACTCTAGGTTGTTTGAATGGAGGTTGGTTTGAATTTTCATAACAGGTTTTGCAATCTACGCAACTGTTCGAATTTTTGCTCATATCTTTTTGCTATTACAGGTTTTGAGATAGGTAGGTACTTTATTTATTAGATCTTCACAATGGGCTATCGGCGACGGTGTAGGAAACATCACTGAGGCAGAAATGCCATCACAATTTTGATCCTCTGCAGAGCGGATGGCTCCCGTGCTTTGTTAGCCCGACGACATGCGCGAAGTTGAGCACTTTGCGGTGGAACAGTTAAGAGAGGACCGATGTTGCTCACCCTCGTCCATACGCAGGCTAATCAAAGTGGTCACCCACGCACTTACTGACCGCAGTCAGTGATGCTTGACTGGGAGCTGGGTCTTTACAATCAGCCTCCCTCCCACACACGATAGGTACGATGGAAATTGTTTCTGCCATTTGAACATACTTCCTACTTAGGGCGATGGACTTGATCTAGATATTTCTGGACCAGGGTTGGACATGAATCATCAGAGGTTATGTCATTTCCTGATTACCTAAGTAAATCATTAATTTGGCATCAGATAAAAAAAAATTCTCATAACTTCTTATTGAATTTTTGTTGTTCAAATTTTTCCACAGATTTGACTCTTGTTACAGACCCTGTGAGAAAAAGTATATACTTAATATCTTTTCATAACATGTTTTTACAGTTATAAAAACTACTATAATAAATATAACTATTTTTTTTTTATTTATCTCTGTTTCCAGTTCAAAAATTACCTGAAAAATTTATTAAATATTTTAGCGGTCGGGAATGAAAACCGAAATATTTTGATGGGTTAATGCAGGGAGGATGCAGGACAATACGTGAGACAAATTGCATGCTTAGTAATTCTGAGTTTAAAGTCACCGATGAAAATGAAAAAACGTAAGAATATAGGACTTATATCATTTGATTTTACAATGTAGCCATAGATTATGACAAAAAAATTTAAAATCAAAATTAAATTAATAGCATCATATATTA